TAGAATTACAGTAATATTAGTTGATATACATATGTCATAGAAGTAATTTTAGAGAAATCGGAAATCAAAATCATCGATTTCTTTTTTTTTTTGATCTGCGAATTTCACAATTTGCAAACCGCAATAATTCGACCATGACATATTAATATCAGAAAAAAATAAAAATTTACAACACATAATCTATTTATTATTTGAAAAAGGCTTTACACTATTTATTGTTTATCACTATAGCATAATCTTTCGCTAATCTTTTTATTTATCCGTTAACTATTTCTCGTTATCATTAAATTTCAAAAAATGTCAAAACTTCTGGCAAATAATTTTTCGATGCACATAAATATTTGAAATTCGAAACCGCACTATCACTACAAATGATAGTTATTTTAAATATTTTCGATTGAGCTTTATAATTCTGTTGCTTAAATATTTTAAACATTTGAACAACGATATCTTTGGCATGACTCAACTTTTTTCGATATTCAGACAATTTCGAATTCTACAGTTCTGTAGAATTTGAAAATGAGCTTAGAATTGAATTAGTCAGATAATTTTCGAGAGTACAGTATTTCATTTAAAGTTAAATAAAAGATTGATGTTTATTAAAACTTTTTTAACATTCCAGTTTGATTGGCTGTAGTATTAGCTCTAAATGACGAATGATCGACAAATAGAGATGGGCACCATGCGCATTTTAGACCATACCATGCTGCATGATGCACGTGATTTTCATGGTTGCATGGTGTGCATGGTTGTATCACGTGCAAAATTTCTAAAAAATTAATATCTAATTGGTTTTACTGTCTTTAAAACTATTATAACTCCGATTTTGACACACTTGCATGCGCCATGCGCACACCATGCGCATGCATGATAGCATGCAGGCATGAGCATCATGCACATGGTGCCCATCTCTATCGACAAATCCTGGCATAGAATTTTTTCATGCCAACCGGTTCTAATCAATTTTAGTATAAAATCGATTCCCAACCTCTAATCTTACGTACGTACATTATAGAATATGGCATTAACATTAAAGCATTACAATTTTACAGATTTTTATCCGCATAATGCAATACTAGCAACTTTACTACTATTAAAAGGTGACTTTTTATTATCTTAATGTTAGAGGGCTACGATTATACCGAAAATGAGAAAAAAGTTCGTGTAGTGTTGCATGAGATACGCATTTTTATGTAGTATTATGTGGTGTATAGTGCATTGTCCCATATATGTTTAGCACCTTGGATTAAAAATTTCTATGCCCTCTTATTGTGCTTTATATTATAGAGCATACAATATACTGTGTTGATTAAAATGTCTATTTAATTTATTTATAAAACTTTGTTAACTAGTGTTTCAAATCAGCCGGCTTGCTGCATTTGTCACACCCATTATGACTTAAATATAAGGGTGTGGCAAATAAGCACAGCAAACGGCTGATTAGGAACGCTATTGTTAGCATACTTAATAAACATAATTAGTTGCTATATCTTTTTACTTAAATTACTTCCATTAAAAAAGGTAATTCTATTGTGACAGTTAAAATGGGTCTTTTTTGTGTCATGTGACACAAACTACTATAAAACCGAATATATACGTATACTGTGCAATTCAATAAATAAAAATGGTTTTAAGCTTTCAAATTTGAACTTATAATAATTAGTTACGAATAATAAAGTTCTAGATTCAAAATAAAATTAACAAAATTTGTTTAAAAAGATATATATCATTATACTATGGAAAGGTTGGAAAATATTGATTTTGAACGGTATTTAGCATCTGCTAATAATGATTATGATGCACAATATAAAATTGGATGTTGTTATCAGTATGGTATTAATACTGCCAAGGATGAAAAGAAAGCATTTGAATGGTATTTGAAATCTGCGGAAGGTGGTAATTCAGATGGGCAATTTAACCTTGGAAGTTGTTATATGTATGGCATAGGTGTTGCCAAAGATGAAAAAAAATCATTTGAATGGTATTTCAAGTCCGCCGAAAGTGGTAATCCAAAAGGACAATGTAATATTGGCAGTTGTTATAAAGATGGTAAAGGTGTTAATAAAGATAAAAAGAATGCATTTGAATGGTTCTTAAAATCTGCCGAACACGGTAATTCACTTGGACAATGTAATGTTGGCATTTGCTATAATGACGGTGAAGGAATCGCTAAAAATGAAAAGAAAGCATTTGAATGGTATCTAAAATCTGCACGAGGTGGTAGTCCTCATGGGCAATATTTTCTAGGAGTTTGTTATGAAAAAGGCATAGGCACTGAAAAAGATGAGAGGAATGCATTTGAATGGTATTTGAAGTCTGCTAAAAATAATAATTCTTGGGGGCAATTTAGTCTTGGAAATAGTTATAAAATTGGACTAGGCATCGCTAAAGATGAAAAGAAGGCATTTGAATGGTACTTAAAGTCTGCCGAAAATGGACATTCTAAAGGACAGTACGTTGTTGGACAGTGTTATAAAAATGGCATAGGCACCATTAGAAACGAAATTAAGGCATTTGAATGGTATATGAAATCTGCTAAAGGTGATATAATTAGTCAATACATTGTTGGATGGTGCTATCAAACTGGCTTCGGCGTTATAAAGGATAACAAAAAGGCGTTTGAATGGTTTTTAAAGTCGGCCGAAGGTGGTTATTCAAATGGTAAATATAATGTTGGATTGTGTTATAATATTGGTGATGGTGTTGCAAAGGATAATGAGAAGGCATTCGAATGGTATTTAAAATCTGCAGAAAGCGGTAATTCTAGAGGACAAGTTATGATCGGCGATTTTTGCAGAAATGGAATAGGCACTAATAAGGATGAAGAAAAAGCATTCGAATGGTATTTAAAATCAGCCGAAAGCGGTAACTTTGTTGGGCAAAATAACGTTGCATACTGCTATGAAAATGGAATAGGTACTATTAAGGATGAAAAGAAAGCATTCGAATGGCATTTAAAATCTGCCAAAAACGGTAATTTTAATGGACAAAATAATGTTGCATACTGCTATAAAAATGGAATAGGTACTATTAAGGATGAAAAGGAGGCATTCAAATGGTATTTAAAATCTGCTGAAGGCGGTGATTCTGGAGGGCAAGCTGCGATTGGAGATTTTTACAGAAATGGAATAGTTACTAATAAGGATGAAAAGAAAGCGTTCGAATGGTATTTAAAATCTGCTGAAAAAGGTAATTCTGATGGACAATGTAATCTTGCATACTGTTATAAAAATGGAGTAGGTACTATCAAGGATGAAAAAAAAGCATTTGAATGGTGTTTAAAATCTGCTGAAAATGGTAATTCTCAAGGGCAATGTAATCTTGGCCGTTTTTATAAAGATGGTATAGGAGTTTCTAAAGATGAAAAGAAAGCATTTGAATGGTATTTAAAATCTGCCGAAAGAGGTAATTCTAATGGGCAAAATAATCTTGCAGATTGCTATAAAAATGGTGTGGGTACTGTTAAAGATGAAAAGAATGCATTTGAATGGCAAATGATGTCTGCCACAAGTGGTAATTCTCATGGACAGTGTAATCTCGGAAATTATTATAAAGATGGTATAGGAGTTTCTAAAGATGATACGAAAGCTTTTGAATGGTTTTTAAAGTCAAGTGAAGGTGGTGATCCTACTGGGCAATATAATCTTGGAATATTATATGAACATGGCGTAGGAATTGATAAAAATGAAAAAAAGGCATTTGAGATGTTTCTAAAATCCGCCAAAGGCGGTGATTCTAGTGGGCAATGCAATCTCGGACATTGTTATAAAAATGGTATAGGCGTTGTTAAGGATGAAGAAAAAGCATTTGAATGGTATTTAAAATCTGCAGAAGCTAACAATTTCATTGGACAATTAAACGTCGGATATTGCTATGAATTTGGTATAGGTATTGAAAAAAATGAAAAAAAGGCATTTGAATTGTATTTAAAATGTGCCGAGAATGATGAACCAGCTGGACAAAATAATACTGGACATTGTTATGAAGAGGGCATAGGAATTGAAAAGGATGAAAAGAAAGCATTCGATTGGTATTTAAAATCAGCTAAAGGCGGTAATTTAATTGGACAAATTAATGTTGCTAATTGTTATCGGAATGGTATTGGAATACCTCATGATCAAAAGAAGGCCATTGAATGGTCTCAAAAATCAAAATTTAGAAAACACATGATGGCAAAATTTAATAAAGAGAATTTTGATATAGATAACTTTATAAAGCAAAGCATGCACAAAAATGTGGCATCCATACCTTTAATTCCGTTTAATGAACTAAAAATTATAAAGAAAATTGGAGAAGGTGGATTTTCAACAGTATATTCTGCCGAATGGACACATTATTTTGAAAGTCAAGAAATTAAGTCGATTGTTGCGTTAAAAATATTTAATGGATCAACAAAAGATTGTTCTGACTTTTTGAAAGAGGTATAAATAAATTTCTGTTGTCCATATTTTTATTTTAGTTTATTTATTATTATCTTTTTTTTTTTAATAAAAAATCCGCAATTTTTATAGCTAAATGCATATTATGAAATTGCAGTCAAAAATCCTACATTTTTACAATGCCATGGAGCATCAAAAGACGAAACTACTGGCGATTACCTACTAGTTATGCAATACGCACCAGGTGGATCATTACGTCAAAATCTTAACCTTATTGCACAAATGAAATGGGAAGAAAAATTGAATCTTTTATTATTTATAGCCTCTGATCTTAAATTAATACATTCTCATAACATTATTCATTGTGACCTGCATAGTGGCAATATATTGCAAAATGATTTATACAGTGCATATATAGGTGATTTAGGGCTTGCTATTATGGTCAATAATGTATTAAAGGCAAAATACGGTGTTTATGGAATTATACCTTATATTGCACCAGAAGTGTTAAATGATAGATCATACTCTAAAGCATCAGACGTGTATTCTTTCGCTATTATAGCATATGAAGTAGTCTCGGGCAATTTAACATTCCCTGATATTCCACACGACATTAGACTTATGCAAAACATTTTTCATGGTCTACGCCCAGCAATTCCATCACATGTTCCAAAATTAATAGCTAAGCTTATTATGAAATGTTGGGATGCGAGACCAAATAATAGACCGGCTTCTGAAGAAATATATGACATTTTAAGAATATGGATTAACGATATTTCACAAGATAATTCAACAGAAATTGTTGCTCAAATTAAAGAGTGTGAAGGAACATTTAATAACATTTCAAAATCTGATGGATTAACAACAGCATATTACTACAAACCATATCCTGAGGCAAAATATACTAGCAAATTCATTGAATATACTATTCATCAGCCAGTGGATGCATTAAATTATGATAAAAAAAATGATGTATTAGGTAATTTCACATTATCTTCAATCATTCCAATATTGATTAATGTTTCTTATGCTTCTTTATATATAATATACTGCAAATTGAAAGATGATATACAATATGTTAAGGAAAAAAGTGACGGTTTAATAATTCCAAGTCATGTCGAAAGAAAATGATAGGAGTCTACATGTTGAATTACTAGAGCTATACATCAGCCGCGCCAAACCAGGAAAGAAATGCATAATAACAGGAATGGCATGCAAGAAGAGCGTATGTATAGCGTATGTATGCTATTCTCAGCATCCGATTGGATGATTATTCCTCATGACCTTGTCTTGGTATTATTTTGTAACCTGTGAAGTTTCCGAAAGTTTCCGGTAATCAACTAATTAATTCGATCTATTTCATTTATCATTTTCTTAAGGATATCGAATTAATTAAACAATGCTAATTAATGAGAGAATTATTTTGATTAATGAGTTTATTTTATAAATAGGACTAATTTTATAAATTCAATTCTCTATAATATTTTATATAAATAAAGGGAATTTTTGCTCACTGCAAATTAATTCTATTGTTTAGATTCTATTATTGAATTTAAAAATAAATGATTCAAATAAAACTTAATAATCTGCATCCTGACGTTCTATTAAGTGCAGTGATTTGAATTGAGCAAAATTTCCTTAATCGGTTAACCAAACCGAATTATTTCATTCAACTGGTTGCCAACTGATTAAGGTTAATTTCTCTCTACCTTCGAAAACTCTCAGAGCTTTGCTCAAATTTTTGTCTCAACCTTGCTCGTCTTTTATGTTTATTTATTTTTCTTTTAGAACTTTTCAGATCCTTTACTCTTTCCTTACGTTCATTTTCATACTATATCGACCCGCCAACTGATTACCCAATTCTCAGCCAGTTGTACTGATCAATCGATTAAAAATTTTCTCAACTGATTAGCTGAAATTTGAAATTTATTTAGTTTGGATCGATTAACCGATTATAGCCCAACTGATTCAAGTTACTACAGTAGTAGAATTATACTCATATATCCAATTATTTTGCTCACATAAATATTGTAACTCGCGAAGTGCTGATGGCTGAGCTTTGGATTATTTGTTTGCCAAATGCAAGCGTCTTTTTTGATTAGCTTATCAAAGTTGTAATCTCGTTGGTTGAATTTGAAAGTCCTGGAGTTCCGTTTTTCTAGTAATAATATTAATACAGTAATATCTACACTATTAAGCTTTAGAATTAAGCTTTAGAATATGTCTGTAGAGTTTCTAGATTCAGTTCAGTTCAGGTTCAGGTTCAATGAACCTGAACCACAAATTTTGCAGATTTTTGAACTTGAACTTTGAATTTATGAACCTGAACTGAACCTGAACTTAAAGTTTTTGTTTAGTTTAGGTTCAGTTCAAGGTTCATGAACATGTTTAGTTTTAGTAACAAAATATAATAAATATTTTTTTAGTTTTGGAATTTCTGAATTTAGAGTTTTTCAAAGAACTCTTTTTCTTTACTATATAAACCTTTTTTAATTTTTAAGAAAAGTTGTAGAGGAGTATCTTGTGATTAAAATAGCAGTTAAGATATTAAAATCAACCCAGTAGATTGTGAGATATAAGTATTTTAATTTTCACAACTACAGTGCAGAACATCTTAAATCAGCAACTAAAATCAATAATTTTTTAAAATTTTATAAAAAAAATAAAAAATATAATTAAAAGGATTTTTTTTTATAGAAATATATAAACAAACAAGCAGAACAAAACTATAGAGTTTATTTTTTAATCTAGCAAAATTTGATAATGTTATTTTCTTTTAAAGTTACTAATAAAATAAAATTTTGGCTGTATATATATAAAAAACATAACAAAATTTTAAAAATATGATAAAATTTTAAAAAACATAATAAATTTTAAGATATTAGCCAATTAAAATCTAGTATTTTGTCTTAAATTTGGCTGCCTTTAAAAAAAGTTGTTGGTTTAAGGATTCCTGCACTGTATATATATTTTTTTTATACAAATAAAGAAAACAAATAGCTATAAAACCAAAATACTTATATTCCATAATTTACTGGGCCAATTTTAATATTTTAACTACTATTTTGATTGCAAGATACTCTTTTGCAACTTTAATTAAAAGTTAAAAAGAGATTTACTTAGTAGAAATTTGAAAATAATAATATTTTATAATATTATTAATAAAAATTTTTTTTTTTCAGTATTAAGGTAACCTCTATAGCCAGGGGCTTTTTATTAGATAATTAACAATGTTTATAATTATGATAAGAGTACAACTAGCCACATATACAACTTTTGGTTGTTTATTTTAAGTGGTTCACCTGAGTTCTACACTAGCTGCTATACCTGCAATTTAACTAAGAGATTATCTATTTAAGCTCTCTGACTTTTATAAGTGAGAGTACAATTAGCCATACCTGCAACTTTTGTTGTCTATTTAAGTAGTCTGCCCAAGATTCCATACTAGCTGCCATATCTACAACCCAACTAGGGGATTATCTATTTAAACTCTCTGGTCACAACCAGCCTGTTATTTTTTACCCAACCAAGGTGTAACTCACTATTCATATGCTAGATTTTGTAATACCTGTAGATTTCATATTCTATCTAGGACTACTTTATCCTTAAGGTAAATCTAACAAAGTAGTACATGTTCTATACATGTATTCACCTGTATGTTCGGTAACTTCTTCCTAATCTAGTACCTGTTGTGTTGCTACTACCAAGTTTGTATCTTAAGCTATTTTTTAAAATACTGCCATAACCTGATCTGTATCTTAAATCACAACCTTTTTATTTTAGTAGTTATTATATACTTCTTGCTCTTGTATTTAGGTTTGTATAACCCTAGCACTCACATTTGAACTTTTCTTCTTTCCTAGATTCTTTATCAGTCTCTCCCTTACTTCTAGCTGGCAACTCGAAAGAGTTAGTTTATCTAGACTTTAGGTGTCTATATGGTCTTTCTTCTCTTGATACATGCTTCCAAAGTATATATTCTTTTTCTCCAGTTTGGCGACTTAGCAGTTTGGCTAGAATATCTCCCCACTTAAGGACCTGGTTGCTTGGTTCTTTAATCTCAGTTCTCAGTTCCAAATTTGGTCCTTCTATAGTACTGTCAAAGATCACACTATTTCCCAACTCAGAACTTGCCAAATGGGTTTTCAGTTCTTTCAATATCTCAGATTTATTACACCAAGGCTTCCATTCTAGATAGTATAATTGAGATTACAGATTTCTAGATCCTACTGATCGCCAAATAGCCGTTAACCATATCACAAGTCTATTTTTTAAAAATGTAATCTATGGGATTTGAACTCTAGATCTGCCATCTGGGGGTGCGACAACTCCACCACTTCACTAAGTCACCACATCCTATTAATAAAATTATAAAAAATATTAAAATTTTATAAAAATATACATATTATATCAGTATATATTTATTTTATTATTTTAAATTTTTAAAAAAAGAAGCTTAATTTTAAATTTTTGTTTAAAAATTCCAAAATTCTGTAAGCATAAGACATATTCCCTTACAGGTGTTCAAAATGTTGTCAAATATAAATTAAATAAGTTGACTTATCCAAATTTAGTCTAGGATTACATGCGATATAGAAATGATCTGCAAATATATTAGAAGGATATTCTAAAACCCAATTTCAATTGAAAAAACAAAAGCATTTTTTATTATCTAAAAATAACTATCAGTTTTAAAAAAATCCTTTAAATTTTTTTTACAAAAAGTATCCTAAGGCTATGTAGTTTAGGAATCTATGGGGATCCCTAAGGTTTTATAAGGTAGTTTTGCACTAAATAATATAAGTGTAACAACGCAGTCAATAATATGGCCAAAATTTGGCCAAAATTTGTACTATGGAATTGCAGATCTTTACCAA